AAAATAGCTGTCAATGGTAATTATATTCATTATATAACATAGAATATAATTTGACATAATTCAACGATCTACAAGTTTTACTTCAAAAATTCTCAAAAATGACATTTTACGAAAGTATTGATTATAATTTAACAGATGTCAAATTATTGTCAAATGTAATTATTCATATTATAATTGACAGATGTCAAATTAGTGTCACATTTGGATATAGGATATATTTGATTATGCAATATTTCTTAAAGAGTTTTTCATGAAGTTTCATTACATTTTCGTATGATATAAATGAAGTATTGAGCTGTAATAGTGGTAATTAGCATGATTAAATTAAGTTAAAATATATGCGACGTTGCATAATGAAATTCTGAATGAATTTACGGCCGTATCGGCGTTTCGCTAATGAAGCTATTATTGTTATGATAATGGAATTTATTGGCGAATGTTAAGTGCGAGAATTCGGTTATTTACTGAATTGCATCAGTGCTGTTAATTAATTTGCGGATGCACGTGATGTCGTTATCAATTCCAATTAAATTGAATTAATTTCATTATCGAAAACGGGTGAATTCGATAACAAATAATAAAAGTAAATAATGTTTAGTGCACTTGTATGATTTTTTTTGGAGTGTTATGAAAATTTAACTTGCCATGAAAATTTTACTTGTTACTTGTCAAATTTGACAATTAACAATATTTAAACAATTCCTGAAAAAGTTTCTAAAACATACCAAGAGATCGTGTATTGAACTGAATATTTTAACTAATAAATAGAATTGAAACATGAAACTGAATAACAAAATTGAAATTATGAAATTGAAAAAAATGAAACTGTAAATTTTAACTAACAAATGAAATTGAAAACAAATTTGAAATAATGTTACTGAAAAACGTAAATGAAAAAAATGAAACTGAATATTTTAACTAATAAATAGAATTGAAACATGATACTGAATAACAAAATTGAAATTATGAAACTGAAAAAAAACAAATTGAAAATTTTAACTAACAAATGAAATTGAAAACAAATTTGTAATAATGTTACTGAAAAACGTAAATGAAAAAATGAAATTGAATATTTTAACTAATAAATAGAATTGAAACATGAAACTGAATAACAAAATTGAAATTATGAAACTGAAAAACACAAATTGAAAAAAATTCAACTGAAAATTTTAACTAACAAAGAAAATTGAAAACAAATTTGAATTAATTTTACTGAAAAACATAAATGACAAAATGAAACTGTAAACAAACAGAATTGAAAAATGAATAACAAAATTAAAATATTGAAACTGAAAAATGTAATTGGAAAAATTAAACTGAAAATTTTAAATAACAAATAAAATTGAAAAATTAAACTGAAAAACAAAATTGAAATAATGAAACTGCAAAAATTTAACCGTATTTATGAGAAATTTGTTATCATTTTACATTAGTAACAGAAACTAGTGAATAATAGTTCAATTTATTCGCAATTCTCGACATAAATAAACGCGACTATGCAGCTTATCATATTATATAATTGACGATATATTTGCCTGCCGCGAATGCCTTCAAGGCATAAATCAATTTCGATGATGCATATGGAAATGCGATCTGCAATATTTTACACGTCGAAGTAGTAAACTTGATTAATGCGAAACGAATAGCACAATAAACGCAATTGTAAATTATTATTATATAATTATTGATTTGATACAGTTAAAGCTTATAAAGTAGTAAATGTACACATTAACAAAGTTAAAACATGAAATTTTGTGAAAAAGTACAAATAAAATTCATTACGCAACATATAGGACTTTAGTAAAAGCCAATTTTCAATTAGTGTTGTTTGTATTGCATTCTGTGCAATTTTACAATACGCCATCTTTTGGTATATTTTGAAAAGTTTCTCGGGAATTGTTTATTAACTTGAAAAAATACTGTTAATTGTCAAATTTGACAAGTGTATTTACGTACATTTTCTAGTAAATGTACATTTTTTTACATTTACTGGTAAAAGTAAGTATAACTTAATTAAGTGTCAATATATAAAGTTGGATACCTGCAAACGACCATGGCTTCAAGAAGTGACCATCCATCACCGCAAATGACCTGCCATTCGTCTTTGACCTTAATCTCGACGCGTCCTTCCTTCTTGTTCCTGCCGCCTTGCAACCTAATCTCCAATTTCTCAGGCATTTTCTCGCTACAATAGAAATATTACTAAATCCACTCGAGACAAGTATTCACAAATAAATTTACAATGATTTGATGCTCTCTTTAACAACATCTTCAGTTGTAACAACATTCTCCTGACATCTGACACCTGCAGCTTCTGAAGCTTCGCAATCGTGTTCACCCCAACCGTCGAATCTGCAAGCTGTTATTTCATCCTCGGTTCCGTCGCAGTATAAATTGTCCATCCAGTATTTCCCTGTTGGAATTGAGAAAGGAAGAGAGTAGAAACGTGAATAACAATTCAATTGAATTTCGTAAGGATTTATCGTTACTTTTCGGAGGTCCGAAATGTGAGCTGTACGTTGGTTTCGCAGAAGCCACGTCCTCGTATCCCAATTGCCTGCAAATCACTTGGGCCTCTGCAGCGTCCCACTCGTCGTCGCAAATTGCTCCCCATTGACCCTCGTGCAGGACTTCAACGTTTCCTTTAAAAACAAAGGAAAAATGAAGGAGAAATAGTAGATGGAATAAAGAGAGATGGACGAAGAGGATATAAATCTTTATGAGTTAAACAAGTTGTTTTTTTGTGAGAGATAAAATAACTTCTAGTCAAAAGAATCTTCAATAAAGACAAAAATACGTTTTCCACTTGAGACGAGGATTTTATGAAATGTAACTCTTAACATAATATAAAATACATTTAATGTAATTGAAATTCTTTAATATTTTAACTAAATTATATAAAAACTTCAACAATCGAATTTGCGTTTATTCTAAAACTTATATTTCAGATGAAAATTGTTAATAATTTTGGAATGAAAAACGTTGACAAATTTGAAAATTAAAAAAAAAAACCTGAAATTCCTGAAAAAATATGGATTTTTTTGAACAGTTTTAGAAGAATTTTCAAAGACTTTATATTTTCTTTTATTTATTAATGTATATATTTAAGAAAATCCAAAATTTCACTGATATTTTTGTTGAAAACAATTTTAGAAAAATTTCTTTAACAAAATTTAGGATTAGTTGAAATATGTTAATAGTTTTATAAGAATTTGCAAAGACATGTTGATAAGAGCAGAAAATGTTCTTGTTTACAGTTTTTGATGAAAATCGTTAACAATCGTAGAAAATTTTGTTAGAAATGTTATCAAAAATAAAAAAGTGGAAAAGCAAAATTTCAACTGAAAATTTAATATCAAAATATTCGATAAAATTTGTTAAGAATTTTATCAAATAGTTCAATATTTTAACAAAATTTGAAATATCTTGTAGAAATTTGCAAAGATTCTTTAACTTGTTTATAAAGTTTTTCATTAAATTCGTTAACAACTTTGAAAATTTTGAAAGAAATGATATCAAAAATAAAAAAGTGGAAAAGCAAAATTTCAACTGAAAATTTGATATTAACATATTCAAATACGAAACATTCGATGAAATTTATTAATAATTTTAGCAAAAGTTCAATATTTTAACAAAATATCTTTTAGAAATTTGCAAAGAAATGATGATAAGAAAATGAACACTTTATTCTAAAACTTATATTTCAGATGAAAATTGTTAATAATTTTGGAATGAAAAACATTGACAAATTTTAAAAATTAAAAAAAAAAAAACCTGAAATTCCTGAAAAAATATGGATTTTTTTGAACAGTTTTTGAATAATTTTCAAAGCCTTTATATTTTCTTTTATTTATTAATGTATATATTTAAGAAAATCCAAAATTTCAGTGATATTTTTGTTGAAAACAATTTTAGAATAATTTCTTTAACAAAATTTAGAATTAGTTGAAATATGTTAATAGTTTTATAGGAATTTGCAAAGAAATGTTGATAAGAGCAGAAAATGTTCTTATTTACAAAGAAAATTTGATATTAATATATTCGAATACGAAACATTCGATGAAATTTATTAAGAATTTTAGCAAAAAGTTCAATGTTTTAACAAAATTTGAAATATCTTGTATTAATTTGCAAAAAAAAAACGCGGATAAGTAAATGAATACTTTATAAATTATAGTAAACTTAGACTGTTTTACTTGTTTATAAAGTTTTTGATTAAATTCGTTAACAATCTTAGAAAATTTTTAAAGAAATGATATAAAAAATAAAAAATGTATATAAGGAAAAGCAAAATATCAACTGAAAATTTGATATCGCAACATTCGTATACGAAACATTTCACTTTTTGCGCCCGTGCCAATAAAAAAAAAACGTTCGAATCCAACAAGAATCACGTACACTTACCTTCGAACTCATCTCTACCACCAACCAACTTGATACCACCTTCCTCCTTCCTCAACCTCTTCAGATGTTTCCTCACCAACTCAGCTTTCTTGCTCTTCCTCTTATTCGGCGTAGGATCACATCCAGCTTCCAGAAGATGGAAAGCGACGACGGTGGTAAAAACCGCGAAGATCGCAACCGTGCACTTCATATCAAAGGCTATTTCCGAACTGGATGCGGTTCAAAATTTGAATCGCTCTCCTCTCACGATATAAATATTTTATTTCTTTTCCCATTTCACTATTAACCCAATGGCATATAAATTCTATTTCTAGTTTCGTCGCATTCTCAGAGAAGCGCGGGAGAGGAGGAAAGACAGAAAAAATAAAATAAAAGCAAATGCATATCAAATTAGGTTTATATTTATTTGTATAATTTTTAATTCATCTTTTTTTCTCAATTACTTATGTTTTTTTTCACCGTCTTCTCGTCTTCTTTAGGTTTATCATGAGATTAATTACATCGAGGTACCTAAACGTGTGTACGTGGGAGGGTGACGTGTTTAAAAGTGTGATTTCTTAGCTTAAAAGTTTTCTTTTTAGTTAATTTTAATTATTTTTTTTGGTAATGCGAGTCACGAGAAAAAATTTAACTACTTACGTCTAACTCGCCTAGGTTTCATTTTTTTGTCCATTAAAAGTTTAGTAGTATTCACAAAACGAAGACAACAACAAAAAAATAACTAAATAAGGTCAGTGGATGAAGTTTTTTTAGTGCAAATGAAAACTTGAGGAATGCAGTCAGAATCTTTTCCTTAACAAATTCTTAATAATAGGCCAAATCCACTGGAAATTCTTTAGGCCTAAACCTAAATTATTCTCTATAAGTTTATATAGTTTACACAAATTTGTTAAAATTCAAATCCCATACGCAATTCTCTCGGTTAATCAAAAAAATAATATCACATTATTTGTATTGAATACTGTTTTTTTAGACTTCAGACTTATATGATTCATAACTATGAACATGAGTAATTCACTAAATTATTCCATATTTCAGTTAATTAAAAACTTAATAAAGTTTTAATTAATATTTGTTAATAATTGCTTCTAATTGAATTGGAAAACGTAATTAACTTAACAAATTTACAAATTTTCTAAAATTCAAACTAAAAATATAGTAGACATCTTGATGATACTTCAATGACTAACTAATTTTAATGATTTTGTAATGAAAATTTCAATTTCTGTATCGATTTCTCTTGCTTCTATTTGAAATAAAAAACGTAATTAACTTATAAATTTTACAGGTTTTCACTATCTATTTCTCTATTATTTGCTTCTAATTGAAGTAACTTAAATTTTTACAAATTTCGTGTAATTTTTATAAAAATTCTAACAAAAACTGAAGCAGACAACTTAATGATACATCAATTACTAAGTAATTTTAATGATTTTATAATGAAAATTTCAATTTCTGTATCAATTTCTCTTCTTAACGTCTGTTTTTTTTTGCTTATAATTGAAGTAAAATTTAGAAATTTTACAAATTTTGTTTAATTTTCAAAATTTTCCAAAATTCTAACTAAAAATAAGGTAGACAACTTTACGATACTTCAATAACTAATTACTTTTAATGATTTTGTAATGAAATTTTTTATTTCTGTATCTATTTCTCTTCATAATCTCTATTTTTTGCTAATAATTGAAGTAGAAAACTTAGAAATTTTCCAAAATGCTAACTAAAATTAAAGTAGACAACTTAATGATACTTCAATTACTAATTATTTTTCACGATACTTCAATAACTAATTACTTTTAATGATTTTGTAATGAAATTTTCAATTTCTGTATAGATTTCTCTATTTTTTGCTTCTAATTGAAATAGAAAACCTAAGTAAAAAAACCTAAATTAAAAAAATACAAATTTCGTGTAATTACTAAATATAAATTAGACAACGTAATGATACTACTTTTAATGATTTCGCAATCAAAATATCAATTTCTGTATCGATTTATCTATTTTTTTTTATTCTAATTGTAGTAGAAAACCTAATTAACTTAAAAAATTGCAAATTTTGTAAAATTCTAACTATAATTAAAGTAGATAACTTAATGTTATTTCAATTACTAATTAATTTTAATGATTTTGTAATGAGATTTTCAATTTCTCTATTTCTCTATTTTTTGCTTCTAATTAATGAATTAAACGTAATTAACTTAAATATTTAAAAAAATTCCTTTAATTTTACAAAAAAATTTACTAAAAATGAAGTATACAACTTAATGATACTTCAATTTATAATTAATTTTAATGATTTTGTAATGAAATTTTTAATTGCTGTATTGCTTATAATTGAAGTAGAAAACTTAGAAATTTTGTTTAATTTTACAAAATTCTAAACAAAAATAAAGTAGACAACTTAATGATACTCAATTACCCTTCATAATCTCAATTTTTTGCTCCTAATTCAAGTAAAACTTAATTTAGAAAATTTCAAAATTTTATTCAAAGTAAAAATAAGGTAGACAACTTAATGATAAATCAATTGCTAATTGTTTTTAATGATTTTGCAATGAAAATTTCAATTTCTGTATCGATTTCTCTATTATTTGCTTCTAAGTGAAATAGAAAACGTAATTAACTTAAAAAAATTTACAGTTTTTGTTTAATTTTCAAAACTTTCCAAAATTATAACTAAAAATAAAGTAGACAACTTCAATTACTAATTAATTTTAATGATTTCGCAATGAAAACTTTAATTTCTCTATCGATTTCTCTTCATAGCAGTATAAATTAATTAGGGTAAATCCATTGTTTTTGATACACAATCAAAACCGTGCAGTAATGGGCGAATTTCCGGTTATTGTTGGATGCGGTTTTCGGCTTTGCATTTGGATCAAAGCCTTAATTGTGTTTGGCCGTTCGACAATGAATGAACGGCTTCTGCGCAACGAACAGAGAAACCTCAAGCATTGTTTCCTGAATTAATTCAAATTATTTGCAACAATATTTGCGCAAATCGGTGAAATATATTAATTGAAACGTTAATTTTAGAAATTTCACAAGTTTTCATTACAGAATATGTAAATTTATTTGAAATTTCAACAACAAAAAAAACATTATTTTTTTCGAATGAAATTTCAAAATTTTCAAAACTGAAACAAATAAATGTGAATCATTTCTATTGAAACTACAAGTACCAAAATACTTTAATATAGTTTAAAACCTTTAGAAGATTAAATTCATTACAAAAAATTGAAATTTGTAAGCAAAAATTACAAAATTTTTCATTACTTTTTTCAAATGGAAATTCAAAATTTTCATTACTTTATGAATTGAAAATAATAAATATGAATCATTTCTATTGATATTACAACTACCAAAATACTTGAATACAGTTTTAAAACCTTTTGAAGATTTATTTCATTGAAAAAAGAAATGAAATTTGTAAGCAAAAATTACAAAAATTTTCATTACTTTTTTCAAATAAAAATTCAAAATTTTGATTACTTTATCAATTGAAAAAATATGAATCATTTCTATTGATATTACTAATGACAATATACTTGAATACAATTTTAAAACCTTTTGAAGATTTATTTCATTGAAAAAGAAATTTGTAAGCAAAAATTACAAAAATTTTCATTACTTTATCTATTGAAAATAATAAATATGAATTATTTCTATTGATATTACAAGTACCAAAATACTTGAATACAATTTTAAAACCTTTTGAAGATTTATTTCACTGGAAAAAAAATGAAATTTATAAGCAAAAATTTGAAAATTTGTCATTACTTTATTCCAATTGAAATATCAAAGCAATAAAAATGAATTATTTCTATTTACAAACGCTTTAAATGAATGCAATTTCTCGATTTTTTTTTACTTTTGCTAAATATTTCAGTTTATTGAAGCAATTTTTATTTACGTTTTTTCATTACAATCAAATACTTTGATAATGGCAGTTTTTTTAACCAATTGTTTTCTTCTTTTGTTTTATTATTACATAAGAAAAAAAACTAATGAAGAATACTTTGATTACTTGAGAGAGAACTAAAAATTTTAAGGAAAATTTAGATAATTTCGTCTGCTAATTGATTAAAACTAACGAAGATTTGGCAGTATTTTCTTATTTAAGAAAAAAAGTGTTAATTTTATAAAATGCAATCAAGTTTGTTGCGAATGGGATTTGTTCTATTATTTTGGGTAAAGAAAAAACTTAAAAAAGGAAAAAAAACTAAATTTTCCGATAAAAAAGCGAAAATCAAGTGAATCGAATGGGGGAAGGATGAATGAGGGGAAATGAAGAAAATAAAAAAAAATCATATCCATAAGAAATAAACCAAAAGCACCAAAGGTTATCTAATAAAGAGGTAGTTTAAAATTATATTTGCATCATACGTTTTTTTTTTGTTTTTTCATCTTCATTCGTTCTGCTTCAATCTGCTCTTTTCTCTTTAGATATAAAATAAATCTAACAACAGAAAAAAATAATAATAATAAAGAAAAATCGAATCTAAACAAAAAGGAGAAAATAATTATAGTAAAAAAAATAATAATTAAAAAAAAACGGAATATTTTTTTTACAAAAATACGTAAAATTCATTTTCCCTTTTTCCTCCGCGTCGCGCAAATTTGAGAAGAAAGCGTCCTCTTGCATAATACCTAAATTTCCATAAATATATAATATATGTATATAACAAAAAAAAAAAGTAATAATAATTGACACAAACTATGTTTTTTTACATTGTGCAATCAATAATATAATAATAATAAATTACTCTGGACTCGTAATTTCCTCGTCAATACTAAATTTATATGTGTATATATATAAAAAAAAGAACTAAAATTTAAACGGTAATAAAGCCAAGAGAACGACTGTTAAACATATATATAAAAAAAAGGTAATTAAAACATAGAAAAAAATTGGTTCGAAAATTAATAATTACATAATTGCATGCTATTCCCATTTAGAACTAAATGTAGTATGCGTATCGTTACATATATTTTTTGTTTTTTTTTTATATAATAGTTATATAAGAATGTATATTGGTTTATGTATATTACACAAATATTTAGTAGAGTTTGATTTTGTGCGCGTTACGATCGAATTTAAATAAAATAATAATGACGACAAAAAAAATATAGGAAAATAAAAACAAACAAATTAATTGATTTGTGCCCGTACAAAATTAAGTACAAATTGGAAGCGTAAAATGATCAGAGAATGTTGGTATTTCCTGTTTTTTGTTTTGTTTTGATAACATTGAAGCCAACTTAAATAAAAAAAAATAAAATAAAATAAAAATTTCAAAACAATAATCGTAATAGTAATAATAAGAAACTTATCGTCTTTCTTCCCTACATTACAGTTAATAATAGTAGTAATAATATTGAGCATTTCATGTTGGGTTCTCTCTTCTTCGTCCTCGTCACCTAATCTTCATCCTCTTCGTTTCTTTCTTGTTTTTTTTTGTTTTGTTTGTTTACTTCAAAGTTCAGTCAAGCATTTAAAAAAAAAGAGTAACGAAACAAACGATTACACTTATAACGTCAAAAGAGAAACGTCAATCTTTCTGATAAAATAAATGGTGAGAAAAGCACATGCTTGGTCTTGATAATTTCTGCCGATTTCTTTGTTTTTACTTGTTTTAGTTATAGTCTTGGTCAGGGAGGAATTCTCAACATACTGTTGATTCTTTTTGTTTTTTGTTTGTGTGTGTGTTTATTCTCAAGTGTGCTTTCTCGAGAAAGTTTGCCCTTACTTTTGTTTTTGATTTTGTTTTTATATATGTTGAGAATGATTTTGTTTTTTTGTTGGACACGATGCGCGATTGTTCATAAAATAAAACATCCGAAGAGAAATGATTGTGAGTGATCCTGTTGTCGTCGCTGCTGTTGAGGTGATGGAGACGGGGGCTGCGTTGATTCCTGATCCGAATCGTCCTCTATGCATCAGCTCTCCAGAAGCGTCGGATTTATCGGTATCACACGCATCCTTGCTGGTTGTTTCTTCTGCAAAAGAAAAAACAGAAATGATTAAGTTAACTTCATTATTGAAGTATGTAATTAATATGATTTTGTATTTAAGGATTTTAGGTATTAAGTCTGGTATTGATGAAGGAATGAGTGATTTGAAGTTATAGTTTATTTGGCTGCATATCTATGATCGAGAAACATAGTTTATTTAGTTGCATACTCGTTTCAGTTGTTTCTTAAAAGCAATACAATTTTATAGTTATATAGAAGCAATGAATGTTAAAGAGTTATGTTAATAATAAGTTGGTATGAAGAAATATATTTTGTTTCGAAAGAGAAATTTTGTTTTCATGGTTGCATATGGCTTCAAATGGTTTCTGATTGGTCGGATTAATCAATAATAAAGTAAGCATACCAATAGGAAAATTGTAAAGACTAATGCTTTACTTGGTTGCATATCTTTAGAAAACTGTAGTGAAGCATTGCTTATATAGTGATCTTCACCTGGTAAAGAATTGTTACATTGACATAATTAGTAAATGATCAAAAACAATGTTTATAAATTGAAGATAAGGGCGGCCGTAGCCGTGTGGCTATGGTCGCCTGTATCACGAACATCTGATACGAAATGTCGTTGGTTCAATTCCGAAAATCAACAAAAATTTGTGGTGGCTGTTAAACCCGAAAGGGGTAGAAATAGGGCCGGAGAGATTTATATCAATAAATAAATTGATATAAATCTCTATTTAAAAAAAAAAAAAAAAAAAAAAAAAAAAAAAATTGAAGATAATTTAGTATATTGGTTTACTTGGTTGTATACCAATAGAAAATTAGAAAGAATCATGTATTATAGAGAATTGTTTCATTAATGTAATTAGTACATCATCACAAATTAAGCTTATAAAATTGAATATTGTTTAGTAACTTGGTTTATTTGGTTGCATACCTATAGAAGATTATGGAAAAGCCTTGTTCATAGTAGATATCATTTAATTGCTACTGCAGATTCTTAATGATTATAACAAAACCACAACCAAAATAAAACCATATA